GAAAAGAAAAACTTTAAGAAAACATTTCATTGGCTCATTTGGCTTCTCATGAAGAGTTATCCATCTCTATCCCTCTGAATATCTGTCTCACAAACACAAACATGAATCAATTTTATACAAAGTCAAAGTTGAATAAATGTCAGCATGTACTGCAGCACTACACAAAACACAAGAGTGGCACAGAGAGCTGGGCTGATTGAGTATAAGAGGCCTGAACAAACAGCCTGCGCAGAGGAGGAAGTCCCATCACAGGGGGTCAGGGTTTTGTTAGGACAGACAAAATACTTGAGTGAGACCAGCACATGAAAACAAGCACAGAATGGATTCTCATAATAAGGACAGGAAATTCTAACACCGGGAATTTTTTTGTGTTTTTAAAACCAAACATATTTAACAAAGTTATCTAACAGACCTGTTTTTCATATTGGCTAACGAATGAGTGAGATTTAAGAAATCACATATATAGAATAGAATAGAATAGAACTTTATTTGTCCACAAAGTGGAAAATTGTCTTCGGCTTCACAAGAATAAGACAGATGACAAACAACACAACATTCAAGCACAGCAGGAAACCAGGAGAGCGCCTGTAGTCCTCGACAAAATCACAGTCAGCATGGTTCTTGAATTTAAAATAATAATTTAGTATAGTAATAAGCCAGAGTTTTAATACATTTCATAAAGTTATAGGTTTAAAAACAGTAATTTCATAAAAAAATGCAGTTAGAGTTGAGGGGGGGGGTCATTTTCTCCTTTATGAATTTAATAATTTTATTGCATTTGGTACAAATGATTTTTTATAAACATTTTTTGTGGCTCTTGGCAGTCTGAATCGCCGACCTGATGAAAGCACTTCGAACTGGGAGAGCAGTGGATGAGAAGGGTCACTTGTTATGTCTTGGGCTTTCTTTTTAATGTTCAGTACATGCCTGTCACAAAGTGGCATCTGTGGTTTCCCTATGATTTTACAAGCGGTATTGACCACTCTTGTCAGTTTGTTTTTACATTTAACATCTAAATGCCCGTACCATGCAACCATGTTAAAAGACAAAATACTTTCTACCAGATTCTTGTACACCATTTCAAGAACCTTTTTACTCACCCCAAACTCATTCAGCTTCCTAAGTAGGTGTAGCCTCTGCAGAGCTGTTTTAAAGACATAGTCTGTGTTATCTATGAATTTGAGGTGACTATCGATGTAAGTTCCTAAATATTTAAAGCAGTTTACCTTTTCAACAATTCATATTCATATTCATTTATCTCCTCAACAATTTTATCTAATGTTGTTTCCAAACATCCGTGCCTCTCTGTTAAAAGATTAGTCACATTTAAAGTATGTTTTTTTTTTTTAAAGTAAACATTCCCATTTCAAATTACAATTTATTTATAAGAACGATTCTAACATATTTCCAATCATTTTTAACATTTGATCAGGATATATTTGCAGAAATGTTTGAGCGATAAAGATAAAAATTAGGCAAAAGAAAGTGACCTTTTTTTGCAATTACATACTGTACATAAATAAAATATGATTTGTTTATGTCCAGCCAAAGAGCTTTGGTAACATAAGGGACTCTCTTGCTGTTGAAACATTCTGTTTTGTTCCATAAAATGCCTCCTTACACATAATATGATCAATGGTCATATCACCATCAATAAAACACATCTGAAGAGCTGGCTTATGTTGCCTGGTGACAGTTTGTGACACTGATTGAAATATGACTGAATCATATTTTTCCCCCCGTGACATCACATCAACAGGTAAGATTGAAAACTAGTGTGACTGATTTATTTATGCAAATCACCAGCACCCAGATGTTGCATTCACTGTTAGGTGTTTGGAGGCATCTTGTATTCAGTGTTTTCTGTATTTGTAAAGGTCAAATTTCCATCTCTGCCTGAATCATGCATAACAAAATAACATACGGTACTGAGGAAAATACCTTAATGCATTAAATGAATCACACCAAATCTTCTATGAAGGGGATGGATTCAGAAAGTTGTCATATCTGTCACACAGAATTTCCTTTGAATCTGCTGATCCCCTATTCGGTGTAAACCTGCAGATTGGGCTCATATGATCGACACTTGTGGTGCAGGGCATGCATATTCCATTCAGAGCGCACAGCAGAGGTGTAAATGTATTTATTGTATATGACATTTTTGACAGGTGTTTACGTCAGAAAATACAAATTTCATAATTTTCTTCAAGACAGCAAAGACTGGGCTGCTCTTCATTCAAAGCACTCTTTTAAGAAATGAAATGTAGATGAAATGCAGAGTTACAGAATGATTTTTATCAGTAACAAACTACTTCTGATGCACCATCAGTGTTTGATTCATAGGTAGAAACCAGATTTTTGTACAGCAAAAACTTAAACGTCATCAATTGCACTTTTAGATATCGAAGGTACAGTCCCTAGGATCGTTATGTAATAAACCCCCATATTTAATACTCTATACGGTAAGTATTTTTCTACCATAGTTATTAAACGTGTGTTCTTTTTGATCAGTTTGAAATATTACAGGGGTAACTAAAACAAGAAGGTCCAGTCAGTGAGCTGCAGGCTGCACAACTGCTCAGCAATATAACTAACTCCTGTTTATGTGCCCTGCTGTTGTTTGGAAAACGTCTTGCCCCGTATAAACTATTAAATCCCAAGGCAGTATCCAATGGAATGATGTAAGAGGACAAGCTATTGATCAACTTCTTCAACAAATGTGAATTTGTTTGGTGTCTCTGGAAACGGAGACATCAATTTTCTGCATTGCCGCTGATTACGTTTCCCCTCAAGGGAAAATGAAGTACAGTAGAAATATGTGCAGCAATAAGTGTTATCAAATCAACCAAGACTGAAATCTGCTGAAACTGAAATGAGTTAAACGTCTTTGCTTTGCTTCCCTTACCCTGTGCTTTTTTTTTTTCTTTTTTTTTCACTAATTTAAGAAATTTGCAGGTTTAAGCTGTGCCCCGCCTCTGAGTGAGAGGAGTCCACAGTGAACTAGTGAAGGAGTTCTTCTAGAAACCAAACAGCTCATAAGAAACAACAGCTCATAGGAGAGGTAGGTAAAGACAGCTTTCTGAGGCTCTGCATTGTGATGCTAATTCCTTTTTGAATTCAGGCCATCATTTGATTTCAAGTTAACATATTCTGAATATATATATTTATATAAAATCATTGAGCTTCACAAGTAACAGTAAGAGTCAATCTGGATAAAGAAAGTACAATCAGTTACAAAAAAGAACAACTTTAAGGTCATGCATCAATATGTGTTTATACATTCTTCAAAAGGTTTACATGTACCATGTGACCAGTGTTGGTAGTCAGACAAAAAAAAGGGCCAGGGGACAACAGACACATACAGTGAATTGTGGGTCGTTTCAGGATAGCAGCCTTTCTGCCAGTATAGCTGTTATGAATTGACTGAAATTAGAAAAAGAGACAAATGGGACAAGCAAGAAAATATAAATGCATTCTTCAAAAGAGCAGTCATCTTGTCTCTTTGTTGACATTTAATTTGTTGACATTGACAAATACAAAAACGACCTGCTGTCTTCCTTTTTTTTGCCGTTAATTTAACATTACACAAAGATGTGTCCAGGGAAGCACAGTACCCCGGCCTGACCTGCTGAGGCAGTGAAGAAAAACTAAACGAAATCTAACACGTTTGATAGTTCTTCTGAGTCACCGGGCATCTGTGTGTGTCCCCACACTGTATGGATGAATGCACCTGCAAAGAGTCTGTCCCCTAATTTTAGTTGTTGGATTGCAGCTGAACCCTGACTTGTCTGGAACGACTTCTTTCAACTCAACGCTGCCACTTCATGCTTTATTTATAGTTCAAGCTGAGCCACTCTGCCAGGTGTGTGCATAGATGTATTGTTTTGTTTTTTTGCAGATACAGTAAATGTCAAAAAAGTCAATGACATGTGCTAACATTAACCTAACTTGACAGGTGGAGTTAGAATATGAGAAATGAAGTGGGTAAGACGTTGTAAATTAGATTGCAGGGATGGGATGACATGGCTGGGATTTCAACTTGCAATATGTATTGTGCAAAAGAGTGTGTGTGTCAAATTCAAACCCTCTTTCTCTTCAGTGCCAGTGGAGCCATTGTTTGTCATGGACCCAGTATACAGAGTCAGCGCAAAATAGTAGAGACAAACATCACTGACAATGAGCTTACAACAAAGCAACAAATGGATTCCATTCACATTTTAATGGAATAGCAATGAGGGTCACTCTAGCGTGGCAGCTTTCCAGTTCCTGATCATGACCTGCAAAACACACAACAAAAGTCACTTTTGTAGGATGAAACTTGAATGCAATAAGAAATGCTCTACAAAATGAACTACCTGACTGGCTTCAAACAGTATTACTGCCGATATAAATCTTTAATTATTGTAAACTAACGAACAAAAGAATAATCATTATTGAAGATAGAAAACGTCATTCACAAATATGTTTCCTGTTTCAATTTGTTAAATATAATAATATGTCCTTTTCCTCTTATTCTCTAATTTTGGTTGACAGCTAAAGTGTTTAAATTACTGCAATCATCTGATAATGATCAGGCTTTACTTCTTATCTTTGCCAGTATTTCAGTGTTTCTAGTGTAGCCAGCAGGTAACAAGATAGCTGATATTGGATATCCAGAGAAAGAACCCTCTATTAGCTGTTCATCTTTGACTGTAATCTGCATTCATATCAAAATCATCAAAGTCAATATATTTTGTCAGACTAAAAGGTTCTGGGTGACATTTTCCACCTCCTTAGTTTTCCATAAACACTTGTTTCCCCCGCTTACAGACAAAGCCTGTTGTATACTATTGGTCAGTACTGCTCAAACTATAAATTAAATGTTAACCCTTTTGTAACCAATGTGAAATATAGGGCTACTAAACCCTGATGTTGTTTAAATATGTGCAGTTGCCCATGTTCCCCAGTAGAGGGCGCTCTCCGCTGAGCAGCAGCTTCGTGACCTGTCAATCACCCTGTGACCTGTCAATCACCCTGTGACCTGTCAATCACCCTGTGACCTGTCAATCACCCTGCAGACGTGAGGTTCACAGCCACGAGCAGACGGAACTTTTCCCGGTAAAAAAAAAACCTTGATTAATCCAGTCAAAAGAATGTTTTGATGTTAATAAGTTCAGTCTTTTAGGAGAACTCAAGTTGTGAGCCTTGAGGAAGATAACTTTCGTCGAGTTATTATTATTTTTATGAATCTCCGGTGAGTTTGAGCCTGTGTCAGCATGTTAGCCTAATGTTTAGCTAGCCTCTCTGGTGAGAAAATGGACAATATAAGATATTTAAGTTCAGATACTTTTACTAAAAAACCAAACGGATTTACGAGATGGGTTTCCTATGTTACCACTGTACTTTGGTGCACTTTATGTCATTGTCTATATGTTTAAAAAAGATCGCTAATGCTAGCTCGGGATGCTAACGAGTCTGTAGCTAATGCTAATCTCTAAGCTAACGTATCATTCAGAGCAGCACAGACAGTGAAACCTTAAAGGAACACTTCACCTGTTTTGTTGACATTAAAACACTTTGTATAATTGTAATTAGCCACTTTAAAGATTTTAAGGTACAATTAAAATGTGCTTTAATTGATTTTGGTTGTTAAAATGTACTAGTTAAGTGTAATAGTAGTTACAATTTAATTCATTTTCATGTTTTAAAATGCAATATATTAAAATCTTTATTTAAAAGAATTTAAAGAAGGGAAATATGGAGAGTTAATAGTTTTAAAGAGATGAGTAATTCATTTATTTGCTAAAATACCATGACATATGGTGATTCATTGCAAGTCAGTATATTTTTGTTAAAAACTAATTGTTGTGATACATAGCAATTAATCGTAGGTTTTTTTTTGTTTTGTTTTTTAAGTACCAGAACATAGATGAACTTGATGGCGAGCCCAGCCCGTGAATCTGAGGGGAGTCGATTACGCAGTGTGGCCAGCTGCAGGATCTGCTCAGAGGACGTCGGATTGCTTGATTCATTCATTTGATTCCAGATAAGACACATACACTCTTATTAACCTACCCGGGTAGTAATAGTAGACATTGACATTGTACACACACATCTGGATTTTTCCCCGAAGCTGAACTCTTTTTGCACGTTGAACTTTTCTCACATTTCCTCTTTATAGAAGAGCATTCGAGCTGGGAGTCCAACTCGAAAGGACAATTTCTTTTGATTTTGTTTTATTTTCACAGAACTCTATTTTTTTATATGTTTCTATGTTTATACACACAGCACTACTGTAATGTTTATTGATGCTGATAAAGGCATTAAAAAGTGTCAACTGTTCAATCCAACACCAACTCCTTTTGTGAGTCATTCAAGGTGCATACTCTTTTAGGACCTAGATTGATGTTAGTATCTTATTTATCCAACCAGGTTAGGACCACAGGTGCTACACTTTCATCAACAACCCTCATCTCATCCCCCAAATTAAGATTCTACATTTACTTGCAGATTTGGTTTATAGAGATGCCATAGACTTATAACTGACTGTTTTAAGCCCCGCCCTCCTTATGTTCTCGCACTGCAACTAATGCAGTATACATGATTTGAAAATTAGATAATGAAAGCAAAAGGGCCACAATTTAAGGCAAAAGTCATTAGGACTGATCAAAACTGTTTTAAAAAAATCATTGCCATCTTAAATCACAACTGTTGCTAAAAGATCTCCAACAAGCTAATTCAGCTAATGGTAGCCAGATTAATTGTTTTTAAAATGTCTACGCCTCACTCATCAATGTCTCACACTGACTAATTCTGAACTGAGGATCTTGTAAAGGGGTTTAAACATGCACAAGTCTATGAAGACATGCAATCTTACATAAGTGAACAAGGTTATTTTCTCTAACTGCAGCGTTAAGCTAATAAGGTTGCGAGCTATTGTGTGCTATGTACTATTCTTTACAACTCAAAATGTATCTCATTCTTGAGCAATCATAAAGGGTATCATGTTAATAATCTGATATTTATGGAAAGACTGATTTCTAATATTCAATCATTGTACCACATTGGGCAGGTAGGATATATTAGTGTGGACAAACTGGACATACATCATTATAAACATTAGTATGATGTAAGGGGAGGTATTTCCAAATAAGGAACTATACAAATATCCATACACTAATAATGGAACTAGAACTCATCACATCTTCTGATTTAGTTCATTTATTGGCATCAGTAGTCATTATATCCATCTTTTTATGAGCTCTGGAAATGCTTTGTCAAACATATTCAGAGTGTATGTTTCACTCTGCCAGTGAAACTAAGGGAGACCGGCATGAGCACTTGAAGCTAATGATGCTCTGCTCATGTATATCTACTCTCTATATAAAGTCTTTTAAGAGGATATGATAGCAATTCTGAAAGCAATGATACATTTCTTAATAGAGCTATTTAAAAGTTCAACTCCCTGAGATCTCCCTTTGAGGGGAAAATATCAAAGTTTCAGAGGTTATTAATCTTAACTGGAGAATGAGTACCTCATTCATTATATCATCAAATATTTCAGCCAGGAACCCATTAAGTCCTCTAAGTAATTCAAAACACAGTGAGGCTCTTCATAAAACCGCACTAAGCGGCCACCCGGCATGTGGTTCAGTGTAACTCCGTAAGAAAATGATTTGTGGTTTGCTCTTTAGACAAAATCTGAAGACTTTCAGGTTTTCCAGATTCAGAATTTGAGAGCAATGCAATGCAAAAAAAACAAACCCACTGCCTCATACTGCTGTTATAAAAGCTTGTCTTACTTACTGTGCTATCTTGCAGTTGGTTGTTGTAACAAATCGTCCAGTGTAGTGTATATTACACCTGACCACATTGTTGGTAAAGTCTGATTCAAGCACCAAGAACTTTGGATTAACCTGGAGCTGAGAAACAGAGAACAGAGGGCACATGACAATTCACCACAATAATTAAAACTCAACAAAGAGCTAATGAGCCCAATTATGTTTCAAAATGGGGTGTTTATGGTGTTAATAACACACACACACACACACACACACACACACAGAGGGTTTAAAAAAATAAAACAATAAGAAGTGAAACAAGTGCCAGTCAGTCATGAACTGCTGCAATCTTACATACCTCCACAAAGCTCTGGAAACCTAAAAACTTCACTAACTATTTTATAACCAGGATCAATTTGTTTGGGTGAACTTGACCTCTCTGTACTTCCCTGATATCTGAATCCTGTCCTGTCCACAAACCGGCCTTGTCCAAGCACACCGGATTCTCACTTCACTCCTACCTTTAGTATGTAGTTTCCAGGCTGGATGTCTGTGATATCGATCCACTGGCAGTCAATATCAGCATTGTATGTATCGTAGCAGCCTGGACTGAGACCCTGTGGAAACAAAGCAGGGGGAGAGACACTCACAAGGAATATTGATCTGAGTTGAAAACAGTTGAAAATAAATAAATAAAGGCAGCTAAAAACAAGGCCCAACAACTGACTATGGTAACAAATATGTTACTAATTACACAAACACAAGAGATTTTGTAGTTTTCACTTGGTTTGAACCAAGTGAAAACCATAGCATAACTACAGTGAATGGATATTGACTTTGTCTTTAAGAAAAGAGATAATGAAATGAAGTGTTCGTAGGATCGTAATTGACCATCACACAAAGACAAAAACTGCTTGTCATAATTTTGTCTTTCATTGGCTGTTACCTGAGTGTGAGCAGTGCAGGCGTAGCGCTTCAGATGACCAAAGTCACAGGTGGTGTCCTCCAAACAGAAGCTAGCCTTGTGTCCCTCTGCCACTTTCCGCCCAGTGCTGACCTCGATCAAATCATAATGGCTGAACTCATCCATACTGTGGTAGTGCCTGTCAAACCGAGCAAAAGACTGTGAATGTAGTTGAAAGTGAAACAAACGTCTTTGATGTATCCCAAGTAGTTTAAAGTCACCAGTGGGATCTGCTATGCATTAAATGCCTTAGAAAACTCCAAGCAAGTTGTGATTACAATGCCATTGTTTAAAGAATACCTTATTAAAGTTAAAGCACACATTTAAATGCAACAGAATTTATATCATTGGTTATTCAACCCACTGACCTCATATGTTCACATCCTTCTAAGTGATGTTGCACCTTGACTGAACACATCATAAAATACCAAAGGACAATGGACACTAATTAATGGCCACAATAAAGTATTGCTGTAGCACAACATTATCACCCTAATGATGTATGAATGATGTTCATCTGCAAGATCAGAGGTGTGCGTGCGTGTGTGCATGCGTGCGTGTGTTGCAGCGTTTGTACTTGTGTGTGTTGCAGCGTTTGTACTTGTGTGATGGTTGCAGTGTGTTTGTTTGCACAGCTTTAGCAGCTTATGAAAGCCTGGGTGCACATGGCCACTGATCATCACAACTGAACCTGAATATGAACCCAGTGACTTCCAGCGACTGACTGTGTCAATGAGCTGCTCCGTTTAAAATCATCTGCAGATTAAACTGATGCATGTGTTTGTCTTGGACTTCTCCCAAATGTCAAAGTGACCCAGGCGGCTAATCACTTTTTTCAAGAACATATTTGCACTAAATAGAATGACATCACAAAGTGCAGTCAAAGTATACATCTGTTAATTATATCACTTGTTCTGCTAGGGCTCGTGTGGGGCTGAAACGTATCCAAGCTGGAAAGGTTGCCAGTCAGTCACCGGACTTACATATTGAGACAAAAAACAATTCATGCTCACACCCACTGGGAATTTAGAGCTAACCATTAAACTAAGGAGCATGTTTTTGGGAGGAGGCTAGAAGAACATGAAAACACCAAACAGAAAAGCCCTTGTCAAACCAAGAAGCTTGTTGCTGTGAGGCGAGAGGGTTAGCCACTGCACTGCAGCCTACAGTCTAAGCAATTGAAGAATTTGTTTTTCCACATTTGCACATTCAATGTGATAACACTTACCTTTCCGCTGGAGGTGGGAAATATGGGAAAAATTTCATATCACAAATTTTTTTTTGCCAAAATCACGATCACGATTTTATCACGATTTTTTTCATTCTACGGCCTCCATACATGGGGCGCGCGCCCTAACCACTGCGCCACCAGCGCCCCGCCTCTGATGTTTTTTATGACATCATTGGATTAACTTCAGATAATACAGTGTTTATTCTGTGACACATGATCAAAGTAAGTTTTACTGAAAGAAGAGTTTAATTCATAGAGGGACTTGGCATAGAATGTTTATTTGATAGAATAAACACATTAGCCCGGTTCTACGATCTCTCTGCTTTGGCAGATCGTCAGCACGTTCAAATCCTTCACGATCTAAGATCGTTATATCGCCCACCACTACTTTCCGCTAACTTCATGTCATAAACATTGGCCATGGCTGTTAGGTTTCGAAACATGACATCATTTGGCAAATGCTCAAGTTTTTTATGTCTACAGTAAGTTTTCTAACCTGATCATCTAAGATAGCAGTGTTGTAAGTTTTCTTTAGACATGTAATTTCAAATCTATTAACCACATTTAAGTCAACTGGAAACCTAAAAAAATTACAGTAGGAGGTTGAATTGTGTGGTTATTTTGGAGAACCTGTTTGCTGTGACATTGTACTGAATCAAAAAGATTGTTGTTTTAATATTAAAAAACAACCAAACACATTTAGTTTCATAACACCCATGATAAAATTCAAAAGCCCTGGCGACAACAACAAACACTAATGAATGAACCTAATGTCAATCAACCTTGACGCAATCTCACACATCACGATGAGCTACATATAGTGTATCTAATTAAACAAGAAACAGTGTTGATAGAGACAAAGACAATCTCAGTCATATGAACAAAGTCAGCCATAAGCTTGTAAACGTCCTCATTTCCTTCTGCACATAAACACACCATTAGGACATTTAACAAAAAGATTAGATCTTTTAGACAACACACAACCATGAACTTTTTCATCCTGCTGTCATATTGCTGTTAATTTTGATTCTTAAATTACCACTTAAATGGTGTTGACTTAAGTAGTTGCCGCAGGTGAGGTAAGCACTGGATCTCTTACAGTCAGACACACTCAGACTATATAAATATTGCCCTTTGGCCTTACTTTATGGCCCGTGTTTCGACAGCAGCAGCTTTTACTGGAACAGCCATTAACGATTGAGGGATGACTTGGACAGAAAAGTGGGTACTTTCCACTGACGTAGAAAGTGACCGTTCAGAGACTCATTCATTCCATTTCAGAGGCAATCAGTTTTGAGCGTCTCTCAGGTAGAAACCAGTCGGTCTTACCTTTGGTTTAACACCCCTTTCATATTCTTCTGCCTCTATTCACAT